CGTCTTTCCGTTATCCGATCGAGCTCAGTTTTTACACAATTTTTTTTCTCACCAAATGGAACAACTTTAGGGGGCGTCGTGAAAAAAATTCGGAAAAAAATTTTTATCAAGTATAAATAAGGTCCACCCTAATGTACATATTCAATCAGCAAATACGGCTGCTGAATTATGGCAAAAATTAAAGAGTATGTACGAGGAAAGCGGACTTGTCAGACGCATTGGTTTGTTACGTAAGTTAATTTCGACTTGTTTAAATACGTGTGGATTCATGAACGATTATGTCAAATCATTGAAACTGCAAATAAGTTAAACGAAATCGGTTTCAGTGTGAACAATAAATGGCTCAGATCTATTTTACTTGCAAAACTTACTGAGAATTTGAATTCAAATCAAATGATCACGGGGATTGAAAGTTCCGGCATAATGTTTTCAACCGATGCTATAAGTCGAAATTAATCGATGCATTTGTTGATAATAAGGCTGAGACTGCATTCATCGGTAAGCATAACACTAAATGGATTCGTAAAGAAGAGCCTGGAAGCTCGAAGATAGGCGCAAAGTGTTACGAATGTAATGAACGAGCCCAAAGCTGCCCTAAGAAATCTCAAAGTTCAACTCAAAAGGCAAAGGAATCGAGCAAACAAAAAGGTAATTCGTCAATTAGGACCGTCAAAAGTACGTTTGGTGCTGGTTACCTGACAAGGAAACCTCGTCATATAGAATGGTATATTGATAGCAGCGCTTCGCAACATATGTCGCCATACACGGAATTCTTCTTAAAAACAAAGACTATAAGCCGTAACGAAAATTATTACAGTCAACAAAGAAAAATTGTCAGTTTTCGGTGAAAGAGATATCGCTGTAAAATTAGATGAAGATGAAATTGACATTAAAAATGTTTTATGCGTGCCAGGATTGTCAGCAAATCTCTTATCAATCACTCAGATGATTGATAACAGTAATGAAGTTATATTCAATCGCGATGGATGTAAAATATTCAATCAGAATGGAGAATATGTATTTCGTAAAACCTGTGGATGGTATTTATCGAATTGAAACACGTTCAGTCAGATGCATGACTGCTATCCAAGTAGCAGACTGATGTCGAAAGACGATATAGAGACGTTTATGTATGGTCATTTTTTGGTCTATGACGTCGACGACTAATAATGGATGTTTATAAGACATCATTTTGTAGACCAGTTATAGACGTCACTTTAAAGACGTCTTGATGTCGTCCGAAAAAAGCCTTTTTTATAACTAATATAGTATTTTACTTCATTGAAATTTAATATTAAATATACGACAGTAAATTAAAAATTACAAAATTAGTTACAATTTGATGCAATGTATGTATGTTGAAATATTTACAACAAATTTATAGTAGTGGATGCATAACATGTGATGTAGTTCGATAAATAAACATATTCTATAACGTCTATGTTTATTTATAGATTTACTTTTATCTTATTCTCTTTTAACTTTGTTAAAATGACCGCAAAAACTTTTCACGTTATTTATATATGCATATGCTGCATGCGCTATTGGGTGCACTGTCGAAACTTGCACGCGCGAAAAAAGCGATACAGGTATAATAACATTGAAAAACTATTGATAGCAATTTTCGTTGATATGAAACGCTGATGTTGACTCAAAAACTTCGCTTTGTGAATAATTAATAAGTAAGTAAGTTAAGCTAAAACTGTGACAAAAACTAAAGTGCTAAAATAAAGATCATTTGACATACACAATTAATAAGATTTCAAATATTTACAAATTATTTTTTGTTGTGTTTACGAAAACGTGAATTACTGTTGCTTTATTATTTACTTATTTTTAGTTATAAAAATTTATTTGCAGTTGTAGGGGCAAATTGTACAATTTTTAATAAACAATTTTTTTTCTACTTGTAAGCTTTAAGTTTATTTTTAACTAAATAATTATCTTTTTTTTAATTTATATTTATGTCTTTAAGTACTAAAAATTAAAATTTTCTGTCAATAGGTAAATTGTAACTACCCACTGGGCAAGTTGTTACACTTATATCATTTCAAACATTATATATATTGCAACCGCTTTTGCAAGCCGGAAAGCAAGACTCGTCGTTCTCGGCATCGCTACAGTCAGGACATAACGTAGTCGCGATTCTAATTCTTCACCAGAGCGCGATCACCGGTAACGCAAAGTTGGGCGCCAGGCACGAGCGGGCGTGCCACCCTTCTAAATACTTGAACTGAACTACAGACAACACGAGATCAGGAGACACGGTAATGGCTTGGTGTCAAGTGTTTAAAAAATAAATATAAATAAAATATAATATAAAATATATGTACGTATATCATCATATATGTCAAGCCTATATGTATGTCAAGCCATGCCGAATCTCTTAACGCGAGCCGTCGCGTTGCGAGCATCCAAGATTTTGAGATCTCAATAACAGTCGAACCGATTAAGTTCCAAGTAGGCTTAATCGACAGCTTGGTTTCGGTTTGTGTAATGAAAGTGTTTTTATTTTTTTTCTACATGTCCTACGAGCGGAGATATTGCAATGCAAAGTCCGAAATGTGGGAATTTATTAAGATCGGAAGAGCACACGTCTGAACTCCAGT